ACTTCCCTTCATCACACTATTGCTGTTGGCCACAGTAATGAACCCTACATCCCCAAGTGGATAAAGCGCGCTATATAAATTCAGTGTTCATTGCTGGAGCGGACTTGTTCACGGGAACATATCCGTAAACCAGAATGTTCAACTCAGAAACCCAGCACACAACAAATCGCTGGTCTAATTTCAGTGTTCATTGCTGGAGCGGACTTGTTCACGGGAACATATCCGTAAACCAGAATGTTCAACTCAGAAACCCAGCACACAACAAATCGCTGGTCTAAATCTTATGTTCATTGCTGGAGCGGACTTGTTCACGGGAACATATCCGTAAACCAGAATGTTCATCTCAAAAACCCAACAACTTCGTTGGTCATTACGCAATAACGTGGTCGTTTTCGGAGCGGGCGTGTCGATGCAGACTCGTCTGTAAACCGAAATGATCATTAGAAAACCCAGTTAACTTATCACTGGTCCCAACAACAATATAGTTTATCTTTGGAAACAAACCAATCAACGACAGCCTGTCTCACAACAAGGATAAACATTATCCTAATTCAAATCGTTATCTTATATAACATAAGGCAAAAATGATGATAATTCTGAACTAAAGGATGAACACTATCCAAGTCGAATCAAATGCTAAGTCTGAAATCAAAAGTACGACAAAGTGCTAAAATAAAACAACTAAGGCTCGATCTCCTCAACATCATAGAAAATCTCAACGGCTTGATCAGAAGGAATCGTCGCCACAGAGTTCGACGAGTTATCATCGTTTGACAAACTCAAAGAACTCGAATCTGAGTCAGCCACCTCTTCAACGGTATCAGCGTTCGAATCCACAACTCGATCATCAGTCGTGCCAGCAGGCAAATCCTTAAGGATCTCGCCAAGTTCGCGCACATGCTCAGCAAATACCCCATCCACGAGCGATAGGTCTGCCTCCTGCTTCACAAGGTCAACGAGCTCTTCACCGAGATCAGGCGCCTTGTCACTCTGAAGCAGCTTTATGAACTCAATGTTACTCCGGACTTCAGCAAGATCAATTCTATCGATCCTCGGCTGGTCATTGCTCATTTTGATCTTCTCTTTGGCGCGATCGATCTTCGCCTCGTACCTTGCCGCCAGCTCGCGCTTCGCTTCACCAACAACCCGTTGCAGCACCGCATCCTAAAGCTTGGCGGCGACATCTAAGCGGTTGACTTACTTGAATTATTCAAGTCGATGACTTTGCTCCAGTTTCGCAATGATTAAATCCACGTCGACGTAAAATTCAGCAGGTTCGCCTTGTTATCCTTCTTCGCCAAGACAGCCTCGTTGACTTTTCGCTTATCAAAACGACTTCGTCACAACAATGCCTTGTTGCCATCGCATCACCTCGGCGTCGTCACGTCAGCTCACCGCCGTCGCATCACCTCGTCGATATCGCATCACCTCGGCGTCATCACGTCAGCTCGTTGATGTCGTGTTACTTCATCGCCGTCGCATCACCTCGTCGCCAGTGTCACCTTCCGATCGAGCTCTACTTCACCTCGTCGCTCACGCATCACCTTGTCGCTAATATCACCTCGTTGATCGGGCTTCAATCCACCTCGCAGCACCGTCGCTACCTTCATTGCGCGACGCAAGCTCTATCGACCATCTCTCCGGAATCATCTAAGTCTGAAGTAGTCTTGTTGTTGTCCTTGTCGCGCGAATGGTCAGTCTGCGAGTCCATAGAGTCGAAAACAAAAGAGCAACGATCCGAGTCGGTGTCGCTCCACAAAGCTAGCTGTTACCAAAGTCGTCAAGCCGTCAAATCATCGAATCGCTGAGTCATCAAACCACTGAATTGCTGAATCATCTAAGACTGAAAGAGCCTCCGTGCTGTCCTTGTCGCGTGAACGGTCAAGCTGCGAATCCATAGAGTCGGAAGCCATTCTTTTCGATTCTCCTCTCCGATGCACCAATAAGCAACGATCTGAGTCAGTGTCGCTCCATGAAGCTAGTCTTGTCATCAAGCCGTCGAGTCGCC